ATAAAATTTTTGATTTGTGACTGAGAAATAATTTATCACCAAATGGTATATAATTATGACCTTAATATGTTTAATTAATAAAATAATTTTTAATTAGTCATTTCATAAAATAAAATTTAATTAATATATAATTTTTGTAGTTTTAAACTTTGTTTCTTAATTTTGAATTGAACCATACTTAATCTTTTCGATATAAAAGTTTCCCGTCTCAAATCATTTCAAAATTCACATAAAATGATAGTCAATGGCGAGATACAAGTAGTTTTACACAATGATTAGGTAACTTGGAATTATCGTCTAACAATTGTATATTAGATCCATTCACATGATTTTTTATGTGGAGATATTTCGAGGACATGATATTTTCATGGATGATTTTGTACCTACCATCGACTTATTTTGTATAATACATTACAAGACATAGACAATGCAATAGGTTTTCCTTCCCGGTCGACGATATTAGTTTGGGTGGATCTTCCTCAGACTTTATCTTTCTTTCTATAGGATATATTGTTCTAATCATATCTAGTTTTACTTGAATTGTCTTTGATCGAAATATATGCTTATCTGGACCATTTTCTTTTTAGCTTTTAAACTTGATAAGACGAGATATACAGTGATGGCAACTGAAATTTAAAGTAAATTTACAATTTGATCGGCTAAAAAGTTTTCAAATCAATTGTTATTTCACTAAGCCCCGTTAGGCCTGTATTAAAATCAAATTAAAATTTGAAATCAAAGTTAACAATTAATTTTAATTAAATATTTCACATATTGGATTTGTTTGAGCCCCATTTGTTGATTTGCTGACAGAAAAGATATGTATCAGTGAATTTTATTTTTTTTAAAATTATCTCATTGAAAAAATGTGAGGTGAAAAATATTATTTTATAACTAGTGTGGCAACGTGCGTTGCACGTTAGTTGGCTTTGTTGGGGGTGAACGTAAAATATAAATGTGTAGTGGTTGCTGAATGAATATATAGAACAAATGTGTTGGTGCAGTGATGAAGTAGAATAATTTGAATAAACACATATGCTTCTATTTCAACTCCTATAGTATGAGAAGAAAAAGTTGACCTTTGTCATTTGGATCATTTGCCAATTTTCCATAAACTATTTGAGAGCCAATAGCTCAGTTTTCAATATTTTCACCTTTTACAAAGAATTTGAGTATGGTGCAAAAAAACATTTTATTCACTTCGATTTTTCCTCTGAAATAATTAACTTTGAAAATCATGTTGACAAAAAATAATTTAAAAGTAAGACTTATAGAACAACAAATTTACGCTCTATATCACTGTCAGTAATGTAAAGATTGAAATATATATTCTTGTGATAGAATAGGAACAAAGAGTCAATCTCAATTGTTAAGAATGCCGGAAAATAATTATTTGTTTCACAAGACTAAAATCTTGAATTGATAAATATAATAATCATTCGAGCTGCTATAATTCCCTACGCAAAAGCTAATAAAATTAAATGTACCATAGACAATCAAAATTATATTTACAGAATATGAGTTTTGACTATCAATATCAACTGCATCAACGTTAAAATTATATTCACAAAATATGAGCATACACCATCAACCTATCTCACATTTCCCTCTGCTCATGTTAAATTATATTCTGCCTTAAATTCTATAAATCTTTAATAAAGAGTTAATTTATCTAACTGATTGATAATATGATACAATCCACTCATCGTTAGTCTATTATATCCACGAGAAAAATATGTTAAGAGAATTAAAAAGGGCAGGTTTGCAGCACATGAAATCAAAGAAAAACTATTAATTCATCCAGACATCCATCCAAATTAAGCAACTAAATCTTACCAAAAGATAGTTTTTATTTAACCAAATGAATCGTAAAAAATAAAAATAAAAATTGTGTGTTAAAAGAATCTAATTTGAAGAGCAAAATGGAAAAATAGGACGGAAGTAGATTTGTTACTATAAGAATGGTTGTGTGAGAAAAAAAAAATAACGGAGCATATATAAATAAAAAAAACATAAATTTTTTTGTTGCGCCGTGCACGCACTAAACAAAAGTTCTGAAGCTCCATGCTTGCACGAAGCTAAGGATGGAGCTAATTTTTGTAAGTAGATTAGATGGTTGGATAGTGTTAATTAAAGAAGAAAATGAATTTAAAATGTTTTTTTGACATGAATAGAAACATTTCTTTTAACAAAGGAAAATAATAATAATAATAATAATAATAATAATAATAATAATAATAATAATAATAATAATAATAACATTTCTTTAAACAAAAAAAATTTGGAGTTAAGGTTCCGTACTCCATCGTGCCTGCATAGAGCTACAAAAAGCTCCATGCAGACACGGAGCTAAGCATGCTCCGTGTGAGCTTTAGCTCCAATAAATATATTTTATAAAGAAATATTTTTATTATTAATTTTTTTTTGGCCTTTATTAAAAGAAATATTTTTATTCACGTCAAAACAACATTTTAAACTGATTTGCTTCCTTAATTAACACTATCTGTCCATCTAGTCTACTTACAAAAATGCACAAAATCCACCATGTCCGTATAAAATTTAAGAAAAATGAATATTAATTCAAAAGAACAAAATATCGAAAAAAACATATTTACGAAAATATTCAATTGCTCGTCTTGGGTTGTATAAGGAGTTTGATCACGGGTGTTGCAATCATGAATGGAGGTTTCTTCCAAAAATTGTTTGAAATTTTGATCCTAGCATAAAACCTTAAAATTGAAAAAATTAAGTTTTATCTTTAAATTTAAAAAAAAAATATTTATAACATGAATAAAACATATTAAAAAAAAAGAAGAAGGAAAAAAAAAACTTGGAAACCTCCTGGACGGAGATTTTGGATAAACCTCCATCCCAAAAATTGTTTGAGGTTTTGATCTTAGCATAAGAACCTTAAAATTGAAAAAATTAAGTTTTATCTTTAAACTAAAAAAATATATATTTATAACATGAATAAAATAAATTAAAAAAGAAAAAAAGAATAAGATAAAAGGAAAACTGGAAATCTCCGAGATGGAGAAAATCTCCATCCAATCATGGATGGAGGTTTCCCCAAAAATTATTTGAGCTTTTGGTCGTAGCATAAGAACCTTAAAATTAGAAAAATTAAGTTTTATATTTAAATTGAAAAAATTTATTTATAACATGAAAAAAATAATAAAATAAAAATAAAAATAAAAACCTGAAAACCTCCATCCATGATTGGAGGTTTCCTCAAAAACCTCCATCCATGGATGAAAGTTTTGTAGGAATAGCAAGCACCTTAATTTAACATACAACGAGCAAGCACTTATTTGAAACAGTGTTGTTGAAGCCAATTTCCCTCACATGGAAATCTCGAAATTTACCAATTTTGATAGCTTGAGACAAACTATTCTGCACCAGGAAATCGGCCCTTTCTATATTTTCAAGGAGTACAACTAAATGGATTTGCTTGTTTAACTCCTCTTTTTGGGTGGTGATGGTTTTCCATGTTTTGGTGTTGGAATTTTGAGGTGATTTTTGTTGGTGGATCTGATGATGGAGGTGGTGGATATGGTAGTGTCACAAACAATGATGACATTGGCAGTGGTGATCACAATTTAGTTGGTGCAGGTGGCAGTGGATGATGGGAGATCTAGGAAATTTGTGTATATATATATATATATATATATTATTAATTTTTTTTTTGTCTCTGTTAAAAGAAATGTTTTTTATTCACATCAAAACAACATTTTAAACTCATTTTCTTCTTTAATTAACACTATCTGTCCATCTAATCTACTTACAAAAATGCACAAAATCCACCATTCCCGTATAAAATTTAAGAAAAATGAGATTAATTCAAAAGAACAAAATATTGAAAAAAAACGTACTTACGAAAAGATTCAACTGCTTGTCTTGGGTTGTATAAGAAGCAGTTTGATCACGGGTGTTGCAATTTTTCCTGAATTGGAGAACTTTTAACTTGACTTAAGTAAGAAATCCTCCATTGCAAAATGAACCAAGAATATTTTTACTTGGTAAAAGAACAGTAAATTTAAATCTATAAGTTCAGTGGCAGAGAACTTTAAAAAATTGAAATAATGAACTCTCTTTTGCAAATAATCAATCAGGCAGGAAAATATTGAAATCTTAATTCAAACTGCAATTTCGAATAGAAAATATGCATGTCTAATTCTACAAGAATGACAAAATAAATAATTAAAAACACGTTCAAATTCTAAATCTTCAACTCAAATACATACATGAAGGAAAAAATTGAAATTTTCTACAATTTTCAGTGATTTTCAACTGCTTGCAAAAATTGAGCTGTTGGGCAAAAACTTTCTAAATCGCCCACAGAAATTGTAGTTTGGTAACAACGATAAATGAGGGAATACAAAGCGACAAATTAAGTATTCTTACATAATCAATTAGAGAAGAGCATAGGGATGGTTTAGTCTTCTCACACAATTAGAGCCGAAGAAAAATAGAGGAATGGTTTAGCTGAAAATCATAACGAAGCGGTATGATTTTCAGCCGAAAACAATAATAAAAAGAAAGTATAAAATGTAATATATGAGTGACACCTGTCCCGTTAGTGCTCCGCTCTTTTATATGGTTCAAATTCTAAATCTTCAACTCAAATACATACATGAAGGAAAAAATTGAAATTTTCTACAATTTTCAGTGATTTTCAACTGCTTGCAAAAATTGAGCTGTTGGGCAAAAACTTTCTAAATCGCCCACAGAAATTGTAGTTTGGTAACAACGATAAATGAGGGAATACAAAGCGACAAATTAAGTATTCTTACATAATCAATTAGAGAAGAGCATAGGGATGGTTTAGTCTTCTCACACAATTAGAGCCGAAGAAAAATAGAGGAATGGTTTAGCTGAAAATCATAACGAAGCGGTATGATTTTCAGCCGAAAACAATAATAAAAAGAAAGTATAAAATGTAATATATGAGTGACACTTGTCCCGTTAGTGCTCCGCTCTTTTATATACATAGGAAATGTAGCTCAAACATGACACAACAAGGAGTTGACTTGCAATAATCCCGTTCTCGGAAAATTACAACTTCATTTCTGCGTTTATCATATCAATTCTACAGATTAGGGGAAATGGTGAGGTTTTCTGTGGGTGGATCGGAAGGCGAAGAAGATAGAGATTCCACTAACAGAAAAAGACCCGTCTCCGAGAATAGCAGAACCTCCACCAACGATGGATATCAAGACAAAGACGAACATGGATCATACTCCATTAAATTCTCCACCAATAAACCTCGACCCTCTATAACCTCCACCAAGAATCCTCGATTATCCACCCCCACCGTGGCCGTATGCGCCACAACCTCTGCCACTCCTCAACAAAGAGGGAAACTACGAATATTTGATGATGATGGAATCTTTGGTGGAATCATTGACCAAGAAGAAGAAGACCATATGGAGGAAACAAAAGAAGAAGCACATGAGCCTTCAGATAAAGAAGAGAAAACAGATGGGCAGCTTTCTGTGATCTTATCGGACCCTGATGTGCTTGATTGCCCCATTTGTCTAGAACCTCTAACTCTTCCTGTCTTTCAGGTTTTCCCCTTATTTCCTCCTCCTTATTTGCGTGTGCATATGATTGGTTCTGTGTTTTATCTTTGAACTGGGCTTTCCAATTAGTGTGATCTTCTTGTTATTTTTTTTCTGAATGGTTACTTGACTCATTGGGATTTAGTTGCAAAAAACATAGAGGATTTTTCTAGTGAATTTCCATATGGAATCGTTTCAGTAGAGAGACATAGTAAATGTTGCGGGCTTATGCCTGTTTTAATCAAGTAAAAATGTGTTATTTCTCTGCCACGAGCATCTATTATTTTGAATTGTTGTATGGAGAATGCCATAGTGTTTCACATATGTGTCGGCTGCAAAAAAAATTTGACGGTGATGCCTCACATGGACGAGGGAAGACCTGTGGAAATCCCAGTTGGTTAATTTTTTTAGTGGGAGTTCAAGAATTAAAGTACAGGAGTAGGTATTTCAAATTGTAGATCGTCCTGTTGTCTGTTTAGAATAAGTTAATCGTTCATGGAATAAACATACAGAAACTGGTATACATCTCCTCATGGAAGAGCCAGAAATATTGTTCATTGCAAGCACAATTTAATGAACGCAGAACTTGGAGTTTTTGGTCATGGATTTAATGATAATAAAAATATAAAACTCACTGTAATGCAGTAGATTAGGTTGACTAGGCATCGACTGAAGTTTCATTAACACCCAGAAAGAGACTAGCCGAAGGCCCAAAACAAAAGGTGAAAAATTTGTAACCAACTCACTGGACTGTAGTAGATTAGGTTGATGACTAGATCACCCAGTATAATTTGATAAAGCATTGGCACGACTAGAAATATATGGGAGGCATGTATCTGGAATTATGTGATAGCGAGGGGTAACCTAATGATTAACAGGTGAGTTGAAACTGAAAAGTAGCATGAGATATCTGAGAGAGAAATTAACTCTCTTTCTGATCCTATTTCAACTTTCCAAGATTTCTCAACATCAGACAACCCTCGGAGTGAAAAAGCTTCCAATTGTTAAAATGGCTTTAATACTATGAAAATGAAAAATCAGCTTCCATTAGCATTATAATTAAGTGATTGTTAGGGCTTTGAAAATTATATCGCGTTGAATTAATTGAATACATTCTGGTCACGTAATTATTCTCTTTCACACAGATAAGCAACAGTTTTCAAGGAAAACAGATAACACTCATTAAGGAATTAAACAGTTAACGCAGTTACCTTTTGTGGAAGGAACAAGGAAACACATGAACATGAATGAATTGACCCATACCTATGTACAATTCAAAATTTTGTTCAGTTGCAACTCCCCATTTAATTCATGATGCAATTTCTCCACCTCCAACATTAAACAGGGTGATGAGGAATCTATCACCCAAACCCTGAAATTCATTCTTACTGACCTCCTCAAGCTATTCTCTTGTTGGTTTCTCCTCACCTGCCTACATCAACAAGTCTTCGAATTAATACAAGAAAAATCTATGTTTTGGGTCTGGTCGGTGGTGGAAGGAGGCGAGGGACTAGAGTGAGAGGCTGAGGCGCGGAAAATGGAGAGGCAGAGCTTAGCGGAGAGGAGTAAAACCTGTTGTTTTAAATGTATGGCCTGAGAATTTTTTCTCTGGGCTGCTGCATTGAAAGGCCCAACAGTCCAAAATATAAAAATAAAAAAAACAAAACTAATTTGGTTGGGCCCAGAGTTCAGTGCTGGCCTGTGCCTGCACTGGCCTCAATTGGGCTCTGCCCCTGTCATTGCCTGTTGTGAGTGAAGCGAGTTTCCCTCGAAGTCTAAGACTAGAAGCTTCTGGAAGCTTAGCGCTTGTTTGGTAAAGATTTTCCTAAGGTGCATGGACCAGATGGTGTTTGATGACTGGTTGGCCAGTGCTAATGTGGAATTAGTCTGTAAAGAGTATATGTACTTGAATATAAATGATTCTTGATTTTGAATATCCATTTGGACCAAATTGAACTGGGGTTCATGCTCTGGAGCATGCTAATGTAAGGAGATATTTGTTTCGCTACACATGTATATGTAGTTGTACGTTGATACTAATTGATTGTTATGATTTAACTTTTAAGTAGACGCTTGTTTTAAACTTTGTATTAAAATATTTAAAAGTTGGTTTTACTTACAACGTATGCTTATTTAATCAAACTACGATCATTTAGGAGCAAATGTGTAAGATTTGTCATTGCTTGACAAGCATGCTGCTGTGCACAATTGAGTTAAGTGTTCTTGCGAGGAGTATTTAGCGCACTTCTCAAGGGCAAAACTGGTTTTCGACAAGTCCCCTTGACAACCTAATAACCAATTGTGGCTGCAAAAAATGAAAAATATAATAAAAGAAAAAGAGTAGAGGAAAAGTAAGAGGACATATTTTAGTGAAGAAAAAAGAAAATACATCCATCTTAGGTAGGAAATATTCAGCTGCAATTATTAAGTTGTTCAGAGCATGTTTGGTGATTTCTTGATTCCATTTTCTGGATTTTGGCATTTTCAAACAGTGGTTCGAAAATTTATGATTATGTATTTTGAAATGGTAAAGTCTATGTCGGAAGTATGTCAAGAAACTTAGATGCATTTGGGTGAAAATATTTGAAGCTATACTTATGAAACGAAATAAATTACGTTGTAGATTTAAGTATACCAATACATGTGCCTCAACTGCCACATTTCAAGTTCGTGGCAATTCATATTGATTGGCCTGGAATATTCCACAAGTTTTGAATTTCTGAAACATAGTGGATAATTCTTTCATTGTGAATGACACTTTCCTCTCAACAGACTAACAAAAGACGTCTTTCCATCTCCAATTTTCCCATTCTTATGGCAGCTAAAACTCTGCTATATCCTCCCAAATAATGTTCCGCTCCCTCGTTCTCATCTGTGAAATTCCTACCAATATTTCAAACTGGCTGCTAGACCCTTAAAAAAAAGTACTGTTTGGAAATGTAGCGATCGTTTTGGATTGAACTCATAACTTCGTCGTGAAGTTCGAGGGATTTTTGCCCCTTTTTTTTTAAAAAAAAAAAAAAAAAAAAAAAAAAACTATTTCATCCATTAAAATTTGAAATAATGGGGGCTAAGTTATCAGGGAGAATTTTTATTCTTAAAATAACCTTAATATTTCAATCATCAGCAAACAGAAGTTGTTCCGACTAGTCTTCGGAACAAGGTTATAGAATTGAATAGGACAACTCTCTAGTCGTCATCTATCTCCCCATGCATTTGATAGAATATTAAATGTCTTCCTTTTTATCTTGAGTAGTTGTACATACTTAAAATTGCTTTTCCATGATTATCTCGATATTTTTGTCAGGGTACCTAGCTCTTGAAGCTATGCTACTAACTAGGATAGTATCATAATTTCACCATATCACTCCTCTAATATGGAAAGATGGGCCAGTATATGCAATTTGAAAAGTCAGCTAGGCATAAACGCCTATGTGAGTTAGAATTGATGTCTTTGATCTCTTTTCTTATCATAGATGGCAGCATACTTCTAGCATGTAATCTTGAATAAAGAATAAAATGTAGCATTGCTTGGGTTAAGCTGCAATTTGTTTGGCAACATCAGAATTGTCCCTTGTTCCCTATGTGTAATCGAGAAACGGCAAATGTACTTTCAAGGTATGGGACGAGTACAGAGAAAACTGTTTTAATGTGTTTCATTTTTCTGAATTTTAATCTAGTGTGAGAATGGGCATATAGCATGTGCACCATGCTGCACAAAGATGTTAAACAGATGTGGAAATTGCTCTTTGCCCATTGGTTACAACCGTTGCAGGGCCATCGAAAAGGTTGTTGAATCAGTCAAAATCTCTTGTCAAAATGCAGACTACGGCTGCAAGCAGACAATACATTACGGTTATAAGCTTGATCATGAGAAAGCATGCCTATATATGCCTTGTTCATGTCCTCAAATTGCCTGTAACTATGTTGGCTCCTCCAAAGGCTTGTATAGGCATTTTGAGTTGAATCATTCAAATTGTTCCCGGCAATTTCGTTTCAATCTTATGGTCTCCATTTCCTTGGAAAAAAATCAGAATCAACTGTTTCTTCAAGAAAAGACTGAAGGGACACTTTTTATCCTTAATCGCTCTATAGATCGTCTTGGAAGTTTATTCACCATCGTTTGTGTTGGACCATCTTCAGCCAAGAGAAGATACTCGTATACTCTTACATCGAAAGATGGAGAGAGCTCGATCAAACTAGAGTCAGTTGCAGATAACATGCCAAAGTGGATTGCACAGCCTCCTGTGAAAAAATATCTTCTGGTTCCAAATGATTTTATTGGTTCCAGTGGTGAGCTCAAGTTGGAAGTTATCATATGGAGTCCCCACCATGAATCTCCCTAAAGTAATCGAAGATGTTGATGTATCTAATAAATTCACTTCTTATGTTCTAATTTTCTTCGATAATCATTGACTTTATCTGGTAGTTAAATGCCAATTGTATTGATGGATCTCCATGTTATTTGAGTCTAATTTATCCATTGTAAATTTCAATAGGGAAAGATTTGTTTTTGATTTGGTATTATCCTCAAATATCTGCCATAATCTAAAAAAATCCGTCGGAGTAATCTGATATATAATTTGTTTGTTAATCACACCTTTAGTGAGCTAATACATTGGGTTTCTAGTTTTCACAATCACATGACAAATGAAAATATAATTTTCAAGAAATGATTACTATTCGACTCCCAAATTGAAATAAATGGTCCCTAATCTTTACACCTTGAAGCGACCATCTGTAAGTTTCCACATAATTGGTGGAATTGGTCGTGTTGGATGGTTTCCATCCAATTGACCGTTACGAGGGAGAAAAAAACTTTTTGATAACAAGACTAAAATGTCCTTACTTTTAGTTAAATAAATAAAAATAATGTAAAATAAAATAAGTAAAAATGAATATTAAGTCCATGTTTGTTTTTCATTATTTACTCATTAAAATGAAAAATATGACCATTATCCATGACATCAAACTATCATATTTGAAAATCTATCTTTTATGTGGGGTCTGTAACGATTATATTTTGTATTCTCATACTTATATTAATATGACTCAAACGGGGCTTAAAAGTATATGACAAAAGGAAAAGATAACTCATTTTACGAGTCAATCTATAACGAGCATTTCAAATACAATTGTGAATTGCTTTAAAATTTGTGTTAAAGTAGACAAGAACTTTGTCGAAATGATGCGAAAGGAGTAAAAAATAAAAATAGATGAAAGACTTTCAATCTACATGATTTTGTTGTCTAATAAGTATAAATTCACGTTTAAATTTGGTTTTTTTATGCACTATGTATTGTTATCTTTGTGTTGACTTAGCCCCCTTCCATTATTTCAAATCGGATAATTAGCACAAAAAGTCCCTACCTTTTAATGTTATTGTGCAAAACGTCTATATCTTTTATTCTTTGATATTTTCACCTATACCTTTCACCTTTCGTTGCGCAAAAGGTAATTTTCATTCCTTTTTTCAATAAAATGATAATTTCACCCTCATATTCAAATAAAACAAAAAGAAAAATAAATAATTAATTGCAATCATAGTCCTAAATTTTTCAAAAGATTACAAATAAGTCCTAAATTCTCCACTACCACCACTTTCACAACCCCACCAAGCCGCTACCTATAGATCTACCTAGCACTACCTTCCGGCCACAACACCCATCAAACTCCACCACCACCAGCCTTGCCTCACTCTTCCCAACATCGTCTTCCATAATATTGATCACTAATCTATCCAAAATAACCACATTTACAGCCTAAAATACCAAATTGGCGTATACAACCCTTCATGGCAATCCCACTTTCGACGCCACCCACGGTCGTGCACCACCATCGACGGTTATCCCTCGCCTCAACAAACCTATGCATGGCCTTACATCGATCAAAACTGTCTCAAATCAGTTTGTTGTAATTACATAACATTTGACAGCAACAACATCCCTTTTACTAAACTCTTCTCCTTCAATTCATACATCCCACAACACTAAATCCCCAAATTGATATCAATCGAACCATCAACAAACCCAAACGACAATGTGTATGAATCTAATTGAACAAATTTTCCCTTCAATCGTTTCAATATCTGTTCCAAAACTCTTTATAGGCGTGATGCACGACGAGAGCTGTCTGACCAAAATTGATGGGTCCTAAGTGCTCCAATCTTTCAATTTGAATATGAGAGGACGGTGGGGGAGTGAGGCGAGGTTGGTGGTGGTGGAGTCCAGTGAGTATAGTGGCCAAAAGGTGGTGCTATGTGGATCTATAGGTGACAACTTAGTAGATTGTAGAAGTGAAAATGGTGGAGAATTTATGATTTCTTTGTAATTTTTTAAAAACTTAAGGCTTATGGTTGCCGTTGATAGTTTATCTTTTCTTTTTGTTTTATTTAAAAATATGAGAGTAAAATTGTCATTTTATTGAAAAAATGGATGAAAATGACCTTCTGCACAATGAAAAGTAAAAAATATGGGTGAAAATGTCAAAAATGAAAGGTAATGACGTTTTGTACAATAACATTGAAAGGTAGGAACCTTTTGTGCTAATTATCCAATTCGAAATAATGGAAGTTAAAGGGGGCTAAGTCAACACAAAAATAACAATACATAGTGCATAAAAAACCAAATTCAGGGTTTTTGACCTACTCTTTTTGTATATCATGATGCATCTTCTTCTTATCATTAGGGTTGAATTTGTTTAGCTTATGATATTTCATTTTATGTTAAATATTTGATGTTCTAGAAAAATTTGCTAGTACTTTGAGAGAATAAGTGTTCTTTTGTTACCTAAGTTTAATTCAACCCATATTCCTGCTTATTTTTCAAATGATACTTTTAAAAATTGAATGGCGTAATCAATATTCAGCTTAAGTTCCTCATAAGGGTTAAGACTTTGTAATAGAGTTCCTGCGATGCGAAGAAAACCTACGTAAGTTAATGATGAATGGAGTTTTAAGAGAGAAAAGAGAAAGTAGATAGTGGTTGTTAATGTTCGTACCAATTATGCAAGTCAATCCGCCACATACAAGATTTCACTAAAGTCGCCCCCACACACTCGGGATATGAATAATGTTAGGAGTTACAAATTGATTTTACATTTTATCTTTCAAAATAACTACTCTACTCTTTATGCAAGGCTACTTGAGGACTATTTGTCCCTTTCAAACTATTGACAATCTTAGTCAATCCCTGCAACTTATGAATATTTTCCCGATCAAAAAAGCAAATCCATCAAGATTATATTCTATGAAGTTTAATTATCCAAGATTCAAAAGCAAAAGTCGATTGAGATTTTATTAATATGATTAGTAATAAGAATAAGTGATTGTGAATAAGAAAAGAGAGTTGAAAGTGAATATTAACCATTTGGGGGTAATGCAATCTTGGAGACGGGGATCGTGGTGGTAGATGGGATACATGGATGGTGGGTTTTGGTGGCTGCTGGAAATAGTATTTTTTTCTCCCTCGTTATATCTGGTGGCGAAATAGTGTCAGGATTGGGGCTGATCATTGATGGTGCCGGCGGTTGATATCGGGATAGGTGAGTAAAGTTTAATTAGGGAAGATGGCTATTTCTTTTCTTTTTTAATTTTTCGTGGATGAATCTTAGACGCAGTTGAAGGGAGTTTTTCAGGGATTTTGTCAAATGGGGATGCATTTGCAATTAGGTGAAAGGTTGAGGATATCTATAATATGATAGTTATTTCAGGGATTTTGTCAAATTGGGACGTATTTGCAAATAATGATAGTTTTTAAGGGATTTTGTCAAATGGGAACGTATTTGAAAAAGAAAAAATGACTATAACATGGTATTTCGGGGAAGATAGAGATTTAGGGCCTGTTTGGGAGCGATTTTTCCTTCCAAAAAATTGATTTTTTGATCGTTATTTTACTATTCCAACTGTCATATTTGACTTCTTATTTCACAGGTGGACCTCACTTTTCTTCTAACGGTTAAAAAATCAATTCTTAAAATCACTCTCAAACAGGCTTTTAACAATATTGAAGAAGAAAAAGAAGTTCAAGTCTTGTCCAATATAACCAAACTGGCCCATAGTGTAAGTATTATGCCCTAGGTCCAATCAACTTTGAACATAAATACTTTTATATATAATTAATGCAATTAAATGGCAGATCTATTATTTAATTAATAGACAATTAAATAAATAATAAAGTCCGTAGATTCAAATATTTGTAATTTGTTAATCACAAGGAGTTGTGATTGTGATATACAAATTACATCTGATTGAATCTTAAATCATCCGTGGTCGTAAGTAATAACGAGATACGGATATCGTTATTACGGATAGACCATCACGTGTGGCATTTCTTACTTGTGAAGTAAGTAGCTGATCTCACAAGCTAAAGTGTGGTGACACTTAAATGAACACGTGGATGTTTTTGTTATAGAACAAAACATTGGAGACCCGTCGAGAGATTCCACATGGATAACTATCTGAGTGTC